GCATGTGTTTAACACAGTTTCACACCTATAGCCGGCAACAACCCGTCCACCTTTTTGTGAACTTTGGGCTGGACTGTTTGCTAAAGGTGTAATTCTAGCTTCCCTTACTCCATACTTCAGCGGCCACCAAGACTCTGATCATCACTCACCGGTGAAAAGGCCATTCACTCAAGGAAGACAAACAAAGAAACCCACTCCAAATACCTCTAACTGGGTTTGATCAAATCGCCATCTATTCTGAAATCCAATGTGGGGACTGGGGCCACCGGGCAGGGTCACTGAGGTCGAAATAACACAGCTACTCAGTTTGACCCACCCCATTAGGCCACGACCGCCATCTTTCATTTGATCTGCCAGCAGATATCGCATCCGGAGGCTTAGTTAGATCACTGACTAATGAAATGGTGCAACCAGATCTGTGTATATTTGAACGCACCTTTGGTTCGCCTGCAAAAAACTTTGTGATATAACTATATAGTTTACTTCATAAGGCAATTTTGTAGTCATACCCCCAAACTGAACGTGGCAGCATATATTTCAGTGAATGATTGATGATTACCAGAGACAGCCAGGCACATGTAGATGTATCATCAGCCTCTAGACCTGCCAGCAGTCAGCAGGCACTTAGGAGACATGACACAGCTACAGATGCATTTACAAGGACAAAATGATCAAAAGCGAAAAACCTTCTGCATGATATTCTCTTTACTCTCAATTGTACTATGGTTTCAAACTATTTTTGTGCCACTTTGCGTATAATCATCCTCATATGTGCGAGTTCTGACAAGCTCTCTCAAATTATCTGCATATTTTCATCTCCAACTTAAATGTGGGAAGTGCTTTTGAAGTTCATAAATTGATCAGCAGCCATGTAACCGCTGCTTCGTGTATCCCTACAGGGATGCATCTCTGCACTGTCACACTGCTCTCTAATTTGGAGGAGCTTTGCTGGGGCTTGAGAGCTACAGGGATGGTTCCAAGTCGCTGTTGTATAATTAAATGAGATATGTTGGCCTCAGTAGCCTCGTCACACCAATATAGAGACTCTTGATTGCCACCAGCAATAAATTACAGCGTCTTTGTTGATGGCTGGTGGCCACACAGCTTTTGAGTTTTATGTATTACAGAAAAGAAAAAAATTAAAAGATAAAGACAAGTATAAATAATAGAAAAAAAGGAAATTGGCATTTCTATTTTTTCTTTTTTTTTCATAAACGCATCTTTATGACTGGTGTTTTAGGGGATTAGGCAACTGTTTTTTATATTAAAGAAATGTCACTGGAATAATGAAGCACAGACAAAATGTGTTAAAGTTTTTCTTCCATCTCGTTTTTCTGCCTCTGACTGCTTTTATTACCCTCAAACCCTGATGGCTGCAGGAGACAGGGCTGTAAAGACCACAAATGATGGGCGATTTAGATTAAATGCATTTCCGTTATAGATGAGTATTCTTGCAGCTAAGCTATGTTCATTTGTGTGTGTTGGTATATGAGTATATGATCTGTGCGGTCATTTGTGGAAATGGCTTTTTGTCTGCGTGGGAATCTGAAACCCTTTCCAGGAGAAGAGGTAAATGACATCCCATATATATTTATGTGTTCTTGTAAGTTTAAGGCAGAAAATGGCGGCAGGGGATTCCTGTGCATGGCAAGAGTCTGGAAGCAGGATGTAACGGCAGGGGTCATGGGTCAAAGGTGCCTCCAGGTTTCACATCTGCAGCTTTGCCCAGACGGCGCAGGCTGCCATCAAAGTGGGCAGCCAGCCACACTCTAATGTGTATTAACAAGACAAAGAGTGAGAAGAGAGGAAGGCATCTGAAGGGCTTTGATTTCTCTGAGATTTATGGGCGTGATGAAATCAGCTTTGAATAAACTGGGTCGGCCCATTTGCTCTATCGTTTCGCTACATCTGAGACTCTGGGGTTTGTTCCGGGAGACCAACACCCATTATAAAAAAGGGTAGCAAATCTAAAAAGAAAGAAAAAGGAGGGGTGCTGCGTCTTCTGAAGTCCTCCACGTCCCATTCAGGGAGTCATCAGCTGGCTCAGCCCATTGTAGGTTCTGCTTCACGACCATTACTGCTCTTCCAGAAAAATTCCCAACCGTAGACTTATGGAAATGATTCTGTTGTGTTCCTGGGATACCAAGAAAACACTTGGCTGCCAGCGTATAAATGGCCATGGGTGCCATTTAACAATTTAACTCTGAGGGCAGTCAGGCATGCGGGTGAAATATGCTGGTCTTTATCAAGGGGCAAAACAGGGCTGATGTATATATACGGCTACCACAACACCCAGTGGATCGTGATAAGGGTGGCTTCCTCCCAATCCCCTCTTCTCCATCCTGCATGTCCTGCAGTAAATACTAAGTGCCCCTTTGTGACCCTCACAGTGATAAATAACCCTTAAGGTTAACTACATTTCAAATGGAGCAGTGAGGCCATTATGGGCCTCTAGAGTTGTCTTGACATCCTCAATATGTTATCTACATGCTTAGGGACTGTTACTGAGCCAGTATGAACCGGTCTGTCTTCTGTGTTGGTTCAGACAAAGTTATGAAAAACTATTTTCCCCATCAAAGAGATGATAATCACATGTCTGCATGTTCAGCAAACATAACTGCTTTTTTTCTAAGGTGTATATTAGTTTCCTGGGGGTGCATGTGTGTGTTGTGACCACCACAAATGTACAAAACATAGATTAGAATTCTTCTCACCATAAAATTCACAATCTCCTTGACTCTTGATGTTATACTTGTTTGTAGATCTGTAAAAGGTACTCAGTTATTAATTTTCTTAAATCCTTGTATGTCAGTTGGGGAAAAAATATATTCTCGATCTAAATGTAAATTAAAAAAACATTATATAACATTTTCTTTTCACAGAGATTACATATGAGAAAAAGGTGCATGGCATTGTGTGAATCAGATGTAAACATATACAGTGAGTGAGAAAACGTAGTGTACGTGTGATTTTTCATTAGAAGTTAGATCAACAGTAACAAGTGTTTTGGCTCCAAAAAGCCAGAAAAAAGTTGTCCTAAATTGTATTTTTATATACTTTATGCTGTATTCTGATGTTTAGTTAAGCTTTTGCACATTGAGAAGTATAAATTCAAATTCAAGTGTAAATTCAAGGTGCTCTCTAAGAAGAATTCATTTTTTAACCATCCCAACATGTGCACAAGATCTTTTTAAGTCACATAGAAGGTCATGTGCAAAGTCATTTCAATGACTGGAAATTTGAATCCTCAGAACGTCAGCTGCACAAGGTCAAACAGCACGAATGTTTTACTAAAGACTGGAGGAGCCTTTGTCTACTACTTTTTGGTTATAAAGTATTGGCAGATTCGTTAGTGCTTGAAGGAAACAAAGATCATTTTAAAAATCAATTATGTGAAGAAGCTTGTTGGTGTGATCTGGTTTAGTTTTGAAGATGGAAGACCTGACATTTTTACTTCTGAGATGCATGAATATCACATTCTTCATCTCATCAATGTCTTCATCTCATATTTATCAATGTTTTGCTATATCAAAAGTAGAGGCAATTGTAGACATCATATGATCCCTTAAAAAATTTGAGAGAATCGGAAGATCATGAAAAGCTTATTCCTGACTAAATTTTTTAAAATCATCCATTTTGAAATCCATAGACGTCTAGATGCCATGTTTTCATTTTTTCACGCTGTTTTACTCAAGTTTTCATAACAAAAGTGACTGCATGATGAAATCATTTGAAAGTTGTTGAACTAACCAATGGAAATGCTAAGAATATCAATGCTAACCATATCGAGATCTTAACAATGCCCCTGATGTTGTTTATGAAGCAACCATTGCATCGCATTTGCATCACTTTTATAGTTCAAACTGAATTAATAAACTGGACACTACCAATTTATTACAATATGTGTGGGGCATTTTGAAAAAAGTTTGGACACATTTAAATGAAAATAGGATTGCAAACTATATTAAGATGATTTCAATCTGTGAGTTACACAGCATCTGAAAAGAATCAGATTTGACATTAGATTCAGGCTTGTAACCCCACTTTAATGCACTCATGTGGCAACTTTGGAGACCAATATTAAGCTTATTGGCATGTTACACCTGTATTAAATATGTTTTAAAGAGCCATCTTTTTCATAATTTGAAGACCAAAATGACATATTACAACAAAGGGAAACTATGTTTTCTCTTATTAAATTCCTCAAAGAGCAGCCATAACAAGCAAAAGTGCGCAGCAGTCACCACCTAGTGGAATTACAGCCTCCCTTGTACTTCCCTCCTCGCATAACCATTAACTGGCTGAAGGCTTAACTGTTTCATGGTGTAAAAGTGTGGTGTAGACTTGAAGGAGACCATGCAAATTGTTTACAAGGTACTTCTTAAGATGTAAGGCATCAACCAAATACCACTACTGACAAACACATGTGTTCCCATCGGCACATCAATATGTAAGATACACAACAAGGGCTGATTAGAAAATTAGCGCCAGGAACTATGAACTTAAATCATGTAATATATTATTTGGTTAGAATAACCTACCAGGGAGGGTTGAGAAGCAAACAAAATGTTTGTGCCTCCTGCAAAACTTTGATTTTCTGTCCAGCAGCCAGTGCTTCTAGTTTGTCATATTTTCTTTGTTTGCTCACACAGAGATGCTGTTAAAGGATTTTTTTCCTGAACCGTATTTCATGGCATTCTTTGATTTAGGGTCTTTTTGTTCAAAATAATGCCTGTAGATACTGTGCCAAGTTTCCAGACGTTAATATGAATTTCTTCAGTTTGAAGCCAGGTGGTGCTGTTTGCATTTGACATGTTCCCCTATTCACAGCCAAGATGGTGCCCTCTGGAAAGATTTCAAATATGACTCTTTTATTGACACCTGTGCTAAAAAATGTATCTTAATGAATTACTATTTCAGTTAGTGTAGCAAAAATTGGACATATGTGATTGATGTTTTTCTGTGAAGAATAAAAGTACATTTGAACTTGTGAGCAGTCGTAGTTTGAAAATGTTTATTCATAATACTGACAAAAAAGTTACGTTTGTACAAAGCAATTAATTACAGGACATGACACACTTGCAACACAAATTGGAATACACTTTTCAAGAATAGCAGGTTTTAGAAAAAAGCACCGTTTTTAATATTAAGAAATGCATAACATTTTTATTGGGATTATTAAATACAATGAGAATTAAGAAAAACTTCATTGGTCTTTTTCTGTGATTTTTTAAATTCCTTCAATACGAAAACACAAATTCTAAGTAAGGCACAGCATTTATAAGCACTTTGACAAGGAAAAAAAAGAGTAAAACCATTTTAAAAAGCTTGAGCTCAGGAAATGGAAGCGACATCTCTTTGGTACAGCGGCATGATTTGTGAAAGACACACTCTATCACGAAAATGAGCATGACAATGTTAACTTGACGACACTATGTACACAATGTATGTAAAAAAATGTTATAAATATGTCTAAAACCACAGACACTATGTACATCTTTGTACTGAATAGAGGCAGAATAGCTCTTTCCATTACGCACAATGGATTTGTAGGATGTTGGGAAGTCAACCAAAATATTTCTAAATAGATTGAGAAAAAATCTGGCACAACTGGAAAGAGGTGTACTGAAATTTTAGCCTTTGTTGAATTTCACAAAACGAAAAGCTGTGATTCTCTCAGAATGTGATGGGAGGTAAAAGATACTGGTGCACAGTATGGTTGGGATGTCAGTCTTTGGTCTGTGGGCAGTAGGCACAGTGCGATGTTGTGGTTAGGCGTCTCCTAACTCCCCCTCCTTTTTCTCCTCTCTGCTCTCGCTCTCATTCTTTCTTCCTCAAGACGATATAAATGAGCCCACTGACGAGACACAGGGGGAAAGCCACCCAGGCCAGAACGTAGGCGTAGCCGAAGTGTTCGTTGGCGTCATAATTCGGAGTCATCACAGTGTAGATGATCGCAGCACACATCACGAACACACCTGGGAAACACAAGCAGAAAGACGAGGTTTGGATTTAGAGGATTCCATTTCTCAGCCTGCTTCCTCCCAGGGTGTGACCCTTCTCCAGGGATGAGGTCAGCCATACTCACTGGCCAGGATCTGAAAGATGGCTGTGAAGAAGAAACGTCCTCCCTTCACCAGCTTGAACAGCTGATACACAAATGCAATGAGGGAGCAGAAGCAGAAGAGGAGGGACAGGATCATGAGGGCTTGCACTGCTTGGATCCAGTCTAGAAGACAGGGGACAAAGAATGGAATGTTTCCATTTTTCCTCACAGAAGTTGAACGCATTTGGTTTGTTCAACTGAAATCTACACTGACCTTCATTGCTGGCCGGCTTGCAGCGATAGCCTCCAGAATTTGTTGCGCAAGTGTACCACAGATCTGTACTTTGCTCTCCACTTACAGACCAGGCCTGGAAAGCACAGCAACACACAGCCATTTAAAAGCACAACCTACGAAGTTAAAGTATGACCATGGAGCGATCACAGTGCTGTTCAAAACCAGAATGACCAATCTATCAAGTCTGTGGCAACTTACTGTTCTGCTATTCTGACAGTTTGAAACTGAACGGAAAGAAAAATTAGCCTAAGTTAGATACTCACACTGGCTGCTGTCGACACGATGAGAAGGACGAGAATGATTAGGTGCAGGACTAGCACTCCGAGCAGGATAAGCAGCATTTTCAAGATGATCTGGTTGGAGAAATAATGCAGGGAGAAAGGTCAGTAAACAGGGATTCACCACCATGAGCATCCCCGCAGGACGGTGCAGCGCTGCAGTAGCTCCTCTCACCGCCAGGTGGCGCCACTTTCTAACGTCTGCTCCAACCGCAATGTTTACCTCAATGGGAAAGCGTCTTTTACGCACGAGCATGCACGACACACAAAAAAGAAACTATCACTTGTTGCTCGTGGAGCACGAACGCTCAATAATAAGTTTAAGATAATGAGTTTACAAAGGATCCATTTGCATTTTGACGTCAAAACGTGACATTTTAAAGTTGTTCTAATATCCAAAGAATGTAAATAGTCATTATGAGCGCTGTTTACAAACTCGCTGAAGTTAGATTTATCAGCACACTGTGGTTAAGGCATTTAAAAATAGTTGAAATGTGAAACAAGTTAGATTTGATTCATGGCAGCTCGATGCACGCCATTGGAAAGCAAACTCAGCCCATCTGCGTGGAAAAAACATTCTCGCAAAGTGCCGCCATGCGGGATCCGCAACCGCCGCCGTGCCCTATTCTCAAGTAGGAGGATACAAAGTGTTGAAATTATGCGCCGATTTTCTAATTATTCAACTTTTTGCGCCTCCAAAGTAAATCCAAAGTTGATTTTCAGTCCAGGACGGAGAATCCTGTTGTTTGCGCGCAAAAATAAGCTAATGAAAACATACCTATAAAAACAAAATAATATTTACAAATCCACTGTATAAGTCCAACTTACAAAAAGGCAAAGCAAGGAGTTTCTGTGAAAACTGGCGTGCTGAAGTTAAGTGAAGTGCTGGGAAAGAACCACGGTGCCTTTATTCCTTTCGACTCCTTCTCTGTGGCTACTATTCCAGATGTGGCTCACACACCCCGCTCCGTCTCTTTCTCCTTGTGAACACCGCCCTGCGGGCCCTGCACGTCACCAGAGGCCTGCTCCTTCCCCCACCACTCCCTTTCATGCCTCTTCCCTGCACTGTATGTCTGTCGTTTCGGAATTATTGTGCAAATGCAAATCCCGAGGAGAAACTGTCCATTTGCATGTTTTTGACACTGCATATTTTAACATCTGCCACAAGTGTAACAACATAGAATCATTTGGATTTTGGCAGGCTGAATTGGAACTTATGAATTGTATGTTTTTGCTTTATTTTGATAAAAGGTCCTGGCTCCTGTAGAGTTTATTCACACATCACCCTATCCATTCTATTTTACACCTGTAATTCTGTTTAAGCTGTGCTTTCCCACTTTACACAAGATTAAAAAAGGTTGAACACACCAAGGGACCTCAAAAAGCTGGTTGCACTCCAGCGTAGTGAGTATGTACGTGTGTGTGTGTGTGTGTGCCTGTGAATGGGTCGACCCTCCTGGGGCTTTGCGGTATGCCCAGAATGCCTGTGTGTGTGTGGCAGAACTCCTGTTCCCTCATGTGTCTTTGGAGAGAAGGGAGAGCTTGTCCGGCACCAGAGGGGAGTTGAAACGGTGCTGTGTTTCAGTCACGCTAAATTGATGGAACCAACTCGGATCTCCGCGCAAACAAGATTTAAGGATGAGTGACGAAGACTGCCGGCCACAAGCAGCCAGCCACCGCTCTGCATCCCTCATTACCGCGTGGTCTCAGGCCATTTCCTCACGGGTGACAAAGCTGTAAACCGAATCAAAACAAACTGACGACAGGGGGACGAAATAGAACAAGCGCACGGCGCTTTGTTTTGAAAGCACCCCTGTCCAAATGTGATGCTGATCAGCTGCTGCAGCTTTCCCCTCTCCCTCCTCTCCCTCGCAAATGTTGGCCCATCAGGTGGATTCCTGTGGTCTGTGTTAGTAAACACGCAGAAAAGACGGGGTGTAGGCCGCTGCCCGGCCTGGCCGCGGGCTGCCAGGTGAGGCGGCGCTGCGGGTCCGAGCAATAGCCGGAGGGGGGCAAAGAGGAAAGGCTCTCTGACAGCCAGCCGGCCCCTCAGCTGGAGGTGCCGCTGTTTATGAAGATGTAATTGCTGCAGCGTTCAGCAGGAACGGGTGATCTGTGCCGCACGGCTGTTAGAGCACTGGCCGCTATCCAAGGCACACAATTTCGTCTTTTCAAAATAAAGGATTACTAAGCAAAAAGGGGAGAGCAGTTCAACACCAGAGACTACTTTTGCAGCTATTGTGGTGAGAGTGCAGCTGATATTTTACACTGGCACGCCCTTTATTCAAACTCTCACTTAATCAGATATGGACCTTTTTTCCTTTGTTTTTCGGAAGTATAACGACTTCCACATTAAACTATCAACTTTCAAATATGCATAGATTTTCTTTGTCTAGCTAAAAAGCAAACCTCCTTTGCCAAACAGAGTTGTAGGAGTCTAGCTGAAGGCAGACTTTCGTTTTCAATTCTGGACACAGATCATGTAATAAATTTTGTTTGCATCTGACACTAAAAGTCAAGTTTGGACTTGGGACAGCACTTTGTTTTGTTAAAGAATGAGTCATTGCCAGCTCAGTTCAGGTGTGTGCAGCATTGGGCTCCAACTGCAGTAGAGGCCAAATTACATATGAACATTGGAATGACACAAGAGTGAGAAAATTAGGAATTAGAGGTTTTGGTTTGGGTCACAGCTCTGGTTTGGCTGCCATGTCGACTTGTTTGCAAGGCAGCTTGACAGACCCTTTTCCTAAAGGGCATGTAAAGGAATGAAGTAAAGCGCTTATTCTACAGAGTATCTATATCAAAATAAGACATAACACTGAAGCTCTGACTACAGAAGAGGTCTGACTGGCCAGATGTTCTAAGGAGAAGCTGTCTTTGGACATCTTTTGGACAGCTTTTGGCAAAAGCTGTTACTCGGCACAGAGTATACCGCAGAATGTCAAGCTTTTGTTACAGTTCTGGTTGATTTGGTCTGGCCTGGTTTATTGAGATTTCTTCGTCAGATGCATTAGTCAGTGTGTGTAAGACTGAAACCATAGAAAGGGAAATTCCTGTTCCAGATGCAGTCTCATATTTCCATTGTGTATGTTTGTGGTATGTGTGTATATGTGTGTGTATGTTTGTGTGTGTGTGTGTGTGTGTGTGTGTATGTGTGGGTGTGCTACTCTATCCTCAGGGCTGAGCTGGTCCCACAGCGCAGCACTAGTGTTTGTGTTTTGCCACTTTGTGACTATCGAATGACATCACATATAGACCATCAAGAGCTTGTGACTATGCAAAGGCAACTAAAGCAAGTTTAACCGTGCAGGCATGGTATTGCTGGTTAAAACGCGCAATACATTTCCACAAAAAAAGCTTTCATTGACTGGACTCACACATTTCAGATATCAAAGCTGTACTTTTTAGATTTGAGAGACTTTATGAGGTAAATATTTTGTGGTCGTAGAAATGATGTGGCTCTACATTGAAGTGAAAAGTAAATCAGTGGACAGTCCCTGCCCTGCATGCCCGGCCTCACCTCTCCCATTTTGAACTGTGAAACTCCGGCAAAACCGTGACAAGGTTTGAAGAGCTTCATTGGCCGGGAGCTAAATCTGATAAATCAGGCCAAGATGTTGAAAAAGGGCTAAGGCTTTGTTACGTTCCTTGTAGGAATGTGTCTGTCCCTCCCTGTGAAAAAAAAAAACAACAAGCAAATAAATCAGAGGCATACAGCGTGACACACTACAGATTGTTGCACCCCAGTGATCATGGACATGTGCTAATCATTAGTCTCTGGCATTCTGCTGGAATCGATGTCATCAGCGCACATATCCCAACAGGCAGGATCAGTCCACAAAACGCTGCTTGGAATCAGAGTGAAAATGGCCTCAGGGGTTCAAAGTCAAGTAATGAAAAGTACCAAAAGGATCCAATTGAAATTTCTCAGTTCTGATTTTTACACAACTCTCCTGGCTCGGAGATTTAAATATCTAATCTGCATCAGACACACAAAATGCTTGTCAATGTAATTGCTATCAAATGTGTCTGAGTAAGATAGATTGTCATGAAATTCACTTCCGATTGAAAACAAATTCTAAGATAAACTTGAATTCCCAGGAAAAAAAACTTCCTATGTTTGTTTTTCCCTTTTTTTTATCAGTAGAGTTCTCATCCCTGCTGCATAGCTATCTTTTCCAGGGGGTGTGAATGTTCTTTTAGCAGCTAACATTGCAGTACTTCCTTTACGGACTCCCTGTTCAGATTTGAAAGGTGTGTACCAGCAAATACTTTCTCCCTTAAAATGTTAGCAGCCTTACGTAATGGAGGGTGGTGAATCTGACACTTAGCAGACTGTCTAAGGGACGTATTTGCCATATGAAAAGCTGCTTTGAAGTCAAATGTCATAATGAGTCACTATAAGCAGGGGTTCAGCACATCTTTGATAAGTTTAAGTCATTTGCACTGACTTTCACACTTCTACAAGCTCTATTATTTAACAGCCATGCCAAATATGAGTCGTAAGATGACTCGCGAAAGGTTAGCTGAGGCAAAAGCAAAAGCAAACAAAAACCCTAACTGCCATCATCCATCAGTATGCTGTTAAACAAGTTTTCAACTGGTTGCTGTCTAGATCAGATTCACAGCTGAGGTGATGCGTGAAACTGAATGGGATCCAAACTCGAAAGTGAAATCTGCTCTACCTTCGATGTTTTGATTTCCTTGTAGTTTCCAAGAAGGGTGTGTCTGATCATATGCTGGGAAATGTGGTGATGCACACTCATATGTCATGGCTGGCCCAGAGACTGTGCAGAGGCCCGGCCAAAAGAAACCCGGGGCCATCCCGTGAAGCCTCTCTCGAAGTGGAGATATGTTGTGTGGAGATATTTTCTGTGTCGATCAATCGGCACCAGCCTGAACCACAGCCCAGAGCAGCCACCAACACAAGATCTGCACTAAACCCACCAATAGCTCCTCTCAGTGGCGGAGCAAAGGAGGAAGTGAAGACGGTCTGAAACTCAACTTAGTAAACTTAAACTAGCACGGCCTCTTTAGGGAATAAATAATGGAATCCTTTGTCCACATGTCAAAAATGTTGAAGCATCATCACAAAAATCTAAAGGGTGACGGCCCAGTGTTTTGATTTTCCTGTTGCTTTAGAGGCAGCATTTATGTGACTTGATACCAGTTTGCAACCATATATGTAAAAATACTCAAGCCAAACCCTGTGTTTCAATTATCCAACTACTAACTGAGAAGTTCATTGTATGTAACCATAATTAGGTTTTTTCATATTTGACTCAAAAGGATGGTGAATGATGACAAAATCAAGAAATGAAAAATCTTTCCATGACATTATGTTGGATGGGTTTCTTATTGAATTCTGTACTGCGGCAGCACAAATATATATAAGGACAGCTGAAGCCTATTATTCAAATTCTATGGAATCGCTTGCCTGCTTCTGATGTACCACTTGGCAGATAGAGCTGTCAGCAGCTATCATTATTTTCATTTTGTCTCATTGCCAAAGAGGAATTATTATTTACCTCCCAATCCTGTCCTGCATGCGACAACCGATAATGGACAGTGGCAGTTTAATAAAAGATCCTGAGCTGGGTGTCAATATCTATCAAATAACAAGGAGCTTTTTCTGCACAGAGAGCATTGATGCTGAAAACACCAACGGGAAGAAAAATACAGACAATTCAAGCAAGAAACTCAGCCCCACCAGAAAGAGCACAAATAAAAAATATAGCGGTTTCCTTCAGGAACTGAAACTTCATCAAAGAAAAATCTGGGGAATGTCTTCCAGCACCATCCATGCTATTTGTTTAGGTTTCCCTTTCCGTGGTTTGCAATATCAGTGAAATATAAACTGCACACAAACCGGCAGACCCTTTTTATCATGACAGATGTGTCCACTATGCCCATAAAACACAGACTAAGCAGATTAACGCAATAACCCAACCAAACAAACCTGTAGTTTATAACTCCTGGCTGCTTATTTTTCACATATATGGAGACAGGCACAGAGAGAACATCTTGATCTATACAGCCCCCAAAATCTTCCTATACAACACAATCCCACCCACTCCCATCCCAGCTGAACATTAGTCTTCATCCAGAATGATGAGAAGCTTTGGGATGTGTTGTTATGCTTTACACATTCCAGATGAGATGGAGCCAGCTCCCCCACCCATATGAGTGTTTCAAAACGCATGTTCTGTGCAGTTCTTTCATGCAACAGATTTCATCCTTTCATGACAAAAACGTGGGGTGTGGTCAAGAACAACATTAAAAAACTGCAAAGAAAAGAAGAGCCAATCTTAACATCTTTTTCCATCTCTCGCTGTTCGGTCAAATGAAAAATGAAAAAGCATGACTGTAAACATGGCTATGCCATTTCCAGAGTTTTACAGCTGAGGTTTGGAGAGCAGTTACCTTATATCCTATAGCTGGCCATATGGTGCCGACAAGCCGTGAACTCAGAGAAGAAAAATATAGCATTGCAGCTTAGGCTGAACTCCCCTTTTTTTCTTTTTGGGAGTTTTGGGGGATGGGATGGAAAGACCTAATTGAAAACAGAGGCTGTTTTTATATTTTTTTCCACTATTGAGTTTCAAAACAATTACCTGTACTCTTATTACACAGAGTCTACGGTATAGCTTCGACATCTATGTGAGAGCTAACCTAGTGAACTACAACAGAACATGATGTCATTTGTTCTGATGATGAAAAATGTGTTTTGCAAATCCCACAAGCTTGTTACAGCAATTCCAAAGCCAAGAGAAACAAGTTTATGGAAAAGTTGCAAACAAAGCTGCCTTTTCCCTCACTTTTCCCCCATTTTACACACACAAATGGAAAACTACACAGGCAATCACAATACAGCTGACAAGTTAAAATGCCACCTTGGGGATGCGGGGGTTTTCTGAGGAGAATATACAATCCTCTGAGGTCATGGTTGGGTTTTTGGGGCTGCAGGCAGTATAAACTACACACATGGTTGTGGGAGGAGGGAGTAGGCTGTGAGAAGTCCTGAGAATCACCAGACAAACCCCAGAGTTTTGTTGCACAACTGGAAACTTTGGTGATGATAATTCTGATTGG